CAGGTTCAGCTCCAGCTACTGATCATTCTGTTGCATCAACCGGTTTACTTGGTAGTTTATATCCGATGGCAGCCGCATTCCTGTTGCTTAGTTCCCTACAGTATCTTTTGACACCTACAGTAACCGGATGGAATACAGTAACAGCAATAAAACTTTTAGCTGATCCATTACTTGGTATATTAGCGTCAGCAGGATGTTTCGCTCAAATTCTTTTCAATATTTTTAAAGCAAATCGTTTGCAACTTCTTGATAAGCATGGTTATCAACCGGCTGCACCACAAATACCTCAACCAGCAATTCCATCGCATACGGTAACAGCAAGCAATGCTTATTCGTTGTCAAGGTATCCGGAACAGAGGCCACTTTGTCCACTATAGGTTAATTTAGCTTGCAATAACTAATTTACCGTACAATATCAATAATTGATAGTTTTACAATTAAATTCACTGTCGAACATTTTTCTTTACCCTACAAATAAATTATTCATTAATAGCAACATATTGATATTTCTACGCAATACTGTAATCCTTTTTTCACAGTTCACAGTAAATGTAATGCATGTAAATTGAGAATTAAAAAAAAACAAAAAAAAAACCCAAACAATAAATTTGTCAATCGAAAAGAATAAGTAAAACAATTGTAAAATAAGTGAATAAAAGGGATAAAATTATGGCATAATATTTTAAAATTAATTGATTGAAATTTTTTAATTTAAATTTTGCTTTATCAATATGATATATTTTGAAAATGTTTTAAAAAAATTATACAAGAGAAAAAAAACAACAAAAATTATTTGTTTTTAAACATTAATAAAAAATTATGCCCAATTAAGAGTGAAATTATTTGGAATTTTTATGTAAAATTCCTGGTGTTTTGTTAATGTTTTCAATTTAATTTTTAATGAATAATTAATTAGCCATTTGTTATAGTCATGTACATAAAATCTTTTCTTTTCTTCCTTTTTTTTTTTTTTTTAATTTTCAAATTATATAAACCACAAATGTATATTTATGATAAAATCCGGTCAATATATATATATATCCCTGAAAAATAAAATAGATCTAAATCTATTTTGTTAAAAATAATTTTTGAGAATTTGTGATAATGTATTTGTAAAAATCATTTAAAAAAAAAAAAAATGATAAATGTAAAGTATTAAGCTAGCTAATTGTATCAATATTTATTTGTACTTACTTCATAGATAGTTGATTGAAAAATTGAATTTTGTAAAAATTTCAAACTTTTTTCTTTCAAATCAAAGTAAAAAAAAAGCATTAAAAAATATATTTTCATCCCTTACACTTGTCACTATGAGAGAAATGAAATTTGAACCATACAGTATACGCTTGGATACTGTCTTACTGGAGTCATACTATATACACGTGGGTACTATCTCCTGAATCATACACTTCACACATGGATACCGTCTCTATTAACTGAACCATACAGTACGCACGTGAGTATTATCCTAATTCAAACATACAATATACACGTGGGTACACTCTCTCCTGATTATTGTAGCCGTGCGAATGTTTTTCTCTTAGATGCATAAATACGGAGTGAAATTCCTTTTTTTTCCCCTCTTTACTTTTGATTGGTATAACTACCGTCAAGGTATGAAAAAAAGTAAAAAAGAGTGAAATGATTGATACAGTATCCGACAAATGATTGACACAGTATATGAGAAATTGCCGATACCGTATCCGATCAAATTTAACCTGTATTTTTATTACTATATATAATGGCCCAAAATATATTTGTCTGTTTGCTTTTGCGTCTCTTTTATCTTTTCATAAAATATTTTGTTTCATTTCATTTTTCTCTTTTGATTCTCTTGTCGTTTATTTATTTTTTCTTAAAAATGTTTACTTGTGCTTTTTTTCGTTTTTTTTTTTTGTTCATTGCATTTAGCTTATTAAGTTTGTATTATTATTCTTAATATTGTACTATTACTATTATTACTAATATCATTATTGTTATTATTATTATTATTATTTATTATTATTATTATTATTATTATCATTATTATTGCCATTATAATTGCTATTATTGTAATTACTATTGCTATTGCTACGGTAAAACGTGTTACCATAATCTTCACAAATGTTCTGCCGAAACATCATAATTTAAACCTTTTAATTTGGAAAAACTTTACAAGTTAATAAAAGAGAACCATGAAATAAATGATAAATAATCAATCCTATCGATTAATATAAATTTATTTAATCATAAGGTTTTAATGAATAAATGAAAATAATTTGATTAGTAATTTTTGATGTTTTATCGTTGATTAAAGATTTCATTCACATTCTATTATCAAATCTTTTAACTATTTATAACTGAAGAGAGAGAGAGAGAGAGAGACAGAGAGAAAGAAAGAGAAAGACATGATCAATGATGGTGACAAATCTGTCTACTGATCCCAAATCCTTCTTCATATGAAGTATATATGGAACAGATGTCTGCCATGGATGATAATGCTATCAATCATTTATTGGTGATCGTTTATTTACTTCAACATCATAAATGCTATATATATATGTATATATATGAATAATCAATGCACATTCTCAAAGAACGAAATATTCCACTTCCAGTTCAAAATATTCCTATTCTTTTTCCATTCCTCTTAAATTAATCTATTTCGAAACATGTTTGATTTCAGGAATTATTAAGAAATAAAATTAAATAACATCTCTTCCTTGTCAATAATCAGCTGTCTTTTTCTTGTCAACAATAAGATCTTGCGCTGGATAATGAATTCATTTTTGATCATTCTATTGCAAAATAAAAAAAAAAAATGAAACTACAATCATGAAAGTATTTAATTAATGAAAATTGGCAGTATGAATATTCGACATGCAAGTTAAAATCACAAATTAATTATCAAATTCTGGACAATGCACAAATTTCTAATACGGAAACATATCTTGGAATGCAACCATCAGATTAATGACATTTGCGTAAAATATTGCCGACCTTATGAAATAAATTTCCGGTCCAAAAGTTACACTTTTGTTGCAGAAGTCTTACTATCAACATTTTTTGGAATCCAATCAAAATTTTCTGGTAAGGGTGGTATTTCGATTGAATTTGGAATATGATCCAATTCAAGCAATCGCATTTTTAGTTCAATATTCAAAAAGCGGTCCACTTGTCGTTGAGCTTGAATCGATAGTTTATTGACACCTAAAATTAAGTACGATTTTTCTAATAGACTACAATGGAAATTCAAACCTTAATATCCGAAGAGGAAAGAGTATACTTATTACTAAAGCAATTAATGTTTAAAATAATACATTATTGTTAACAAATATAAGGCGTTTGCACTTGAACACACAAACACATACAACACACAAGACGTCGGATAAAAAAAAAGAAAGAACGAAGAAACGAATTACCAATCAAAGCATTGATACCATCACACCAGGCATTTATCGTTTCCTCATCAGAAGTTACCAAATGATAAAGATCAGGCTTATCACCAACTTCTAATGTGATACCGCGTACATTTGAATTTTTCTTTCCCTTTGTACTATTCATTGGAAAATCACCTTCACCTCCAGCCATTACACGTTGTACATCAGCCACATCTACTGTAAATACATTTCATTTAATTTTGAAAATAGATCATTCACCAATAATTTACATGAAATTTTATGTGAAACCAATAACAAATTCATATTTGACTTTACTTTTTATATTTCCAGCAGATTTTGCATTTGATGAAGACTCTGTGTTTGAGCAATCTGTACAAATTAACGTCTTCTCGTTAGCATCCAATTTCCAAAACCAAAATTGCTGTCCTCAACAAACATTTGCCAATTAACCAATTTTGCTTTATTTTAAAAAATACATTTTTTTAAAATTTTTAACAAACTAATAAACATTTGATGAGTAAAGACATAATATTACACTGATATATAATTACTGTATATTTACAGTTTCAACTAATTATCTGCATGAAAGGAAATCTCTTTTGCACTTTAGAACATATGTTGCAGTTTGCTAAAAATGAAGTCACATTTGACTTAGTACATCAAATTCTTCCGTCCTAAAACTTCTGCGCTCCTTCATTAGTGCAATTATATTTTTTTCTGTAATTTATTTCTGTGAACAACTAATAGTTATTATAGTAAGGTATACTTTACGTCTCACTATTGCCATAGTTCTTTTTCGTAATTTTTTGATTTTTAAGATGATTTTTCTTTTTTCAATCTTTTTGTTATAAATTACAGAACTTTTTTTCTTTTCCTCGTCTTGATTAATGTTCGTCTTTTTGCCAAGTTGCTTTAGTTTTCCGTTTATTATCAAAATGTTATGAGCAGTTTCTAAATCTATCGCTACTTTAAAAATTCGAGCAAAATATTGCAGCACATGAAATTATAAGCATAAATTGGTAGATGAAAAAAAACCTTTTTGCATCGATTTGCTCTTTATTAGCTTCCCAAATTTATAGCCATTTTTCAAAACATTTTTACGATTTTTCAAAACCAGTTCAACAATACTCGGTCGAAGATATTCTCGCAGCTCTCTGAAAGACGACAGAGAAATAATATATTTTCATTATTACAGTTAAAACATTTGCTAATTTCTACGTTAGATCTACATAAATTGAACTCGAACTGATTGAAAAAAGGTTAAAACCTCTTAGAGATATAGCTTAAAATTAGTTCAGGTATTTTTGATCCAATCGTTTTGTTCATTGATGATTCAAATGCGGTGAAGGCTGGGAAAAATAAAACAATTTCAATTCTGTAAAAATTTACTTGACAGCATCACTCTGTAATTCTTCTGCTTCTTTAGCGCTCCTTTCTTTTTCCCAAATTTTCTTCATATGTGGATACGAATGAGCTGCTAGCAATTCCTCTAACTTTTCAAATGTATCTGGTTTTTCCAGCAAACAAACATCAATTTGCTTCCGAACAACAGCCAAAACCTACAAAAATAAATGCCAGTAATTAGCAAAAGTAATGTACTTGACCAGTCCTGTATTTCCAACAATTCCATTAATTTCGTTCAAAACATTGAAAAAGTTTCATAGTACAAAAAAAGAAAAAACTGCTAATATTAGTCTAAAAGTCCCATGTACCTTTTTAATATCTTCTTCACTTGCATGCATTTCACGCCACGTACGATGAAAAAGTTTCACAAGCACCGCAAAAAAATCCAAAAATGGTCGATCACTTTTGAACAATAAAACCATTAATCGATCACCTTCTTCTATAAATCGTTTACTTTTTGGTTACTTATAGAGTAATGATTCAAGCATATGCTGCCTGTTTATTTCTCCGAAAGATGGAAAAACGATTTTGATATTTTACCAGGTTCATTAATAACATGAAGAACGTCAATCAACATTTGCACTAAATGAACCGATACAAACAGAAGGGACCATAGATTGTATCAGATCTCATTGAATTTTCCAACGATATCTGGAATTAATGCGTTCATTATTAAAT